ATATATATATATATATACTATATATATATGCACACACACATACATGATGTAAGAAAAACATGTAGGTTCAAGAAGTCTTGATAGAAATTAATAAAAAAAGGTGTAACCCGAGTGCTTTCTTGTGAAGTTTGTCCCTGAACAAGAAAGGTCCACCATTCAAAAGTGATCGGGTTATAGGGTTTTTATTAATTTCTAGTTATGTATATATATATATATATCTCGCAATACCTATATCGGATCTGGTTATCAACTTATTGTCATAACGGATAATGTCTGTGGTAATAACACCCAAATGCATTGAGGATATCCCATCTATCAGACAATATCCAAATGCTGACGTCAATCTAGTCAGCTGCCATGGAAAGTCATTAAAAAAAATCATCTATTAAATATGTGTATGAAGCTGAGTGCTTACACCAACGTCTCAGCTTCTACTGCCTTTCACTGTCTGTAGCCAGTTGTGGGAAGGCAGTTACCCTTAAATGTTTTACAGTAGAAATTAATTGGAATAAAGCCACCCTAATATTTCTACTAATTAAACTCCCAACCTCCACCCTTAGGCAGTAGAAGCTGAGATGTTGTGGGTGTAAGCACTCAGCTTTGTACCCTTATTTGATAGATGATTTTTTAAAAATGATTGTCCATGAAGGGTGACTAGATTGACATCGATGTTTGGATATTGTCTGATAGATGGGATATCCCCAACACATTTGGGTGCTATTACCACAGACATTATGACAATAAGTTGACAATCAGGCCTGATAATGGTATTGATATATTTAATTCATTATTGTTTTATAGTGCTGATTGAATCGCCTATAAACAATTAAGGTAATAAATAGTTTGTAAGCTATTTATATATGTATATAATATTTTGCAATAAAAAGCACAAAATAGCAAAAAATGGTGGACAGAAATGATTCCTACACAAGAAAATCCATAAATCTGGTTTATCTAAAGCAAACCATTTTTATGAATTTACTTATGTAATCATTATTTACACTCTTACAATAATTTTTGTTTTTATCATTTAAAGTTTTGTTGTATGGCTCTTTCCTTTATTTTAATGTGCTGTAATGTGTGTTTGTATCCACAAAGTTAGGTGCAATTTGCATTATGTATATATTAAGCTTTAAGATTGTTGTGTTGCATCAGTGTGTTCAAAGTATGCAGCTGAATTCAGCATTTGAGATTTGCAGAGATGAAAACTTATATTTGCAATTATTCATCAAATGCTTATTATTTTCTTGTTAAATCAGTATAGTCATTTGTATAATAGTTTTTTATCATATAGGGTACTTATTTGTTTATGACTTGATTCAGAGATTAATCTCGACGAAACTCCCAACTAATCTCACATGATCTAATGTGAATTGTACTACTGTATGATGATACAATCATGTGGCAAAGCCCTCTACCAATAAGAGGGCAACACACCTTCATGTGCAATAACTTCCTCTATGCATTTGCACTTGTGAATTGTCATTCTTTTCCTCAGCAATGTATTGACCAGACATATTTAAAATATTTAGCCTCTGTTAAAATTTTATGAGACTTACATCTTTAATGTAACTTTGATTTTTGTTTTCTATAACTTTCATTTCAAAATATTTGATTTTTTATCATGAATTCCCAAAGAACGGTGATTTATATATATTGTCCTTAATGGTTAAAATTATTCATACTTAGGTCTTATTTCATTTGTGGCTTGTTGACTGTCAGGATCATTTCAGCCATTTTTCTGTGTGTTATGGATCACCACATGCTTCATGGGCCTTCTACTTCTGTTGCCTGAATTTTTTTCCTAACGTTCAGCAATGATCTGTTAGACTACCTCCTTCATCTGATTTGCTTTGGTTACTACTTTACTATTCTTGAGACGATCTTAACCTTAAAATTTTATTCTGGATTTTCTTCTCAGGTTTATTCTGTTCCTTATCTTGTGTTCTTTATTATTATTTTTGTTTCTCACCTTATCTCCTACTGTTCTTGTGGTTTATCTTGTCTTTTCTCACTGCTTGTTATTAGGCTTATGCTGTTTCTTTCTCTAATAACTCTTTCTCACACCCAAATGCCTGGTCCCCCCATATTTATGCTTCATTTTGTCCTGATTTCTACACTTGCTTTCTTTCCTTTTCTTAATTCTTTGTCTTTGGTATCTATCTGGCCAGCTTAGAGTTTGTGCACCATTACTTTCTCTTTCACTTCTAGTTCCCCATTTTTGCATTTTTTGTCTTTTTCCTCTATCCTTTTGTATTCCCTTTTTGTAATTCTTCCTTTTATCTGAGACACTTCTTCAGTTTCTTTTTAATTCTGTATGCATTAGTTCTCTGTTTGTTTAGCCTGTTCCACTTCTGTTTTATCCCTCCATATGTTGTTCCCCTGCTGTTGGGACTTGTTGGTCGGGTTATTTTCCTCTTTCCTATACCCCTTCCTTCTCATTGTGTACCTCTTCTTTTTTTTTTTATCTGGCTCCCTTTCTTTGCCCAGATGTCTTCTATGATGTTCCTTTCCTCTTGGTGACTGGGACTTCTGTCTTCAGTATCTTTTCAGGTTTAGTTTTCCTCTTTCTTGATCCTGCCCTTTGCTCCTATACTTTGTCTATATCTTTCTCCTTCTCACATTCCCATTCCAAATTCCAGGCCTTCTTCTTTTTTTCATCTTCTCTCAACCAGTAGTCTAGTTTGTTACTCTTATTATCAGTGACTATCACACATGTACAGTTTTTTGGGTACCTGTATTTTCTCCTGCAGTTGATGTCATTTTCTGCTTACAGTCATTTTCCTTTTCTCCATCTTGCTCTCTTTTCCTGTTTCTCTTCTCTTTCCATTTACTTTTCACCTCCGTCTGACCACATTTATGCTTTTTTTTTGGATTTCTATAATGCTCTGCTTCAGCAGTCCCTTGTAGGACTCCATGGTAGGTGGGGTCAGTGGGCACTGAAGTTTCTCTATTATGTATGGATCCTGCACTCAGTGACCCCCCCAAAAAAATGTTGATAGGAAAGTGACCACGTTAGAAGACTGAACAGCAGTCTCCACCCCATTCTGCGCCTGTAGCTTTTTTTTTCATCATAAATTCTTTATCAGACAAACCTTTAGGGCAAATGTCTCCCTTTTTTGATTCAGAAGGGATTTGATGGGCTTGCTGACTCTAGAAAAGTCAGTGAAGAAGCTACATTCTGGGGACATTTTGGTAGAAACATATACACCAAAACACAGTGAACTCCTCCTGAATTTGAAGGTCATTAAGGATATACCTATTGAGGTTACTCCCCACCATACTTTGAATTCCTCACAAGGATTTATTGTTGAGAGGGATTTACAAAACATCCCAGAGTTGGATATCCTTGCTGGTTTCTACAGTCAAGGAGTTTCTGCTGTATGATGTATCTCCACTCATAAAGAAGGAATTATGCTGCCTACTAATGTTCTTGTATTGACATTTACATTGCAACATCTGCCTGCCACTGTCATGGCAGGTTATCTGAACTGTAAGGAATGGCATTATATTCCTAACCCTCTCAGGTGTTTCCAATGTCAGCAGTTCAGACATACAAAGGCATCTTGTCATGGTTCTTTTACGTGTGCTAGTTGTGGTGGCAAAGACCATGAAGCCCATGAGTGTCAATGGACCCTCAATGCATCAGTTATGGTGGTTCCCACCCCTTTTACTGTCAATCTTTCCCTAAGTGGGTGGAGGAAGAAGAGGTACAATGTTTACATACTGTAAACAACATTTCTAACCTAGGGTCCCAGAAATAGCTGTCCCCTACTTCATCTCAGACATGTGCTGCTGCACAATGTTCCACTGGTACAGTAGGAGTGCAGACAGATCTTTCCATGCCTCCAATAGAGTCCTTCTCTCATCATGTAAAGAGTATTTTGCCCTTTGTAAGTTTAAGAGTTGACGAGTCTACTTCCATCCCTGTCTCTGTCACCACCACTGCTTCCAGTAACTACTTGGGTCCATCTCCTGCCCCAAGACACAGAACCATTATTTGGTCTCAGCCTCAGTCACTGGGGTCTCATTTTTCCAACAGATCTGCCCAATTGCCCAAGGACAGGTTCCATGGAGGTCAATAAACCTCTTTCTTCAAACGAAAAATGTTGTGGTCACAAACAGAAGGGTTCTTTGCCCAGTTCTTCTCCACATATAAAAATAGTCTCTTTATCTGTCTCCAGGAGAGACTATCGATCAAACAAACTTTGATGCTCTTGTAGAACAGTTGCCGTCTCCCTTTTTCATCTTGGGAGACTCTTTAATGGACACAATCCCCTCTGCAGTGGTGCTGATATTGATGGGAGGGGTTGTTCTGTAGAGCGTATGCTCTTGGATCATGAACTTTCTCTCTTACATACTGGTTCCTTTACCTATTTTCATGCGCCTAGTCAGTCTTTTACTGTCATTGATCTGTCTATCTGCACTTCTTCACTTTTCTTGGAAGGTTGACAGTGACCCATGGGGCAATGATTATTTTCCCGTTGTTTTGAGGGAGATTAGCCAAGGTCAATGTAACCTGACTCGAGTGCCGTGGTGGAAGTTGGTGAAGGCTGACTGGCTTTCCTTCACCACTTTCTCAGAACTAGATCGTGCTGTCGTTAGTCTTCCATATATTAACAACTGCTTGGAGTCAGTAACTGATTGTATAATTCACCCAGTTGTTTGTTCTATCCCATAACCTCAATAAATTTCCCAAGGTATCTTTGTCCATGGTGGTCTCCCACCTGTCAGAAGGCTCAGAACC